TGGTGAAAAGACTCTGTAATTGTAAGCTAATACAACCTTCACAGAATCTATCAGAGTATCTTGTTGATTTACACTTGATACATTCTTTTGGTTTGCCCAATTTATAAATTGCATTATTCTTTTCAAAATCATAAATAAACTTTTCCTTACAAAATTGTTTTTCATTTTTAAGAAGCTCCTTATTTTCTTTGACTGATGAAAAAAAATAATCTTTTCTATTTTCTTTTTTAGAATTCAATATAGCAATATTATACATTTCAGCATTAATTTTAGCTACAAAGTTCCTTCTTTCTGGTGATAATAATTTATTAAATGACATTTTAACTTTATTTAATGTCTTATTATAAATAAATTTTAATTTATTATTGAATGGTGAAGAAATCAAAAACTTTTTTTTCACAAAATAAATTAATAAATTTTTGTACACGGTATATTTGTTGTGCGTGAATTTGGAGTCTGCGTCAAATTGAAATTCACGCGCGTGAAATTCAAATTAGCCAATCAGAATTTTTTATTCAAACACTCCCCCCAAAATTTAATTGGTAAATTTCAAATTGACACAAATTTGATTTTCACGCACAACATATTTATTTATTTATTTATTTTTTTCACAATTTTAATATGCATCGTTTTATTACAAGAGGTTTTAAATGCCCATCTACACACATCCATTTAACATAGGTTTGGTAATGCTTTTTTGACTCAAATCTTCTTGCAGAAGGATCAAGTATAAAATGCAGTAATATATATATGCATAAGATAGGATGCGAAAGATTTAAATACCAATTACAGTTTGTTCTTTATAATTTAGATGGGTTAATTCCTCTTCTTTTTATTATCATCTTCAAACAAGAGTTTGTTTTCGTATGTCATTTCAAATTTTTCTTAAATTCTTCTTGTGCGCATTTGTTTAACATAATACTAACTTTCCAAGTTGTGAAATGCATACTAGAATTCTCCTTCTCAGTAACATCACTATCTTCAGGAATGTTCTCTAAAAACATGGTGGTCAGCATAAATTCGCTTTCACTTTCAGAATCATTTGAAGGCTCAATTTCATTATGATTAATATTGGAGCATTTTAAATACATTATGACCAACAAAGATTTTAAAGGCTAAATTTATTAAAAAAAAAACTCCTTTTTGTGAGTAGGTGCATATTAAAAATTTTACATGTAGGATACATTGTGTGTATACAGTCGGAACTCGATAAGACGTAACTCGATAAAACGAATTTTTGTTATAACGAAGTTTTTCTAGTTTACCAATTCATTTATAATAAAATCAACTCGATAAGACGAAGATTCCTATTGTTTCACTTTAATGTTTAAGATGATGTTTTCATATGGTTCCATATATAGTAAACTATAACTCGATAAGACGAATAACATCGGTTTATCGAAGGAAACTTCGCTTTATTTTGTACAATTTTATAAATGATTTACAGTAGTGGTAGTACGTATTGTTCCCTAAAATTAAAGATGAAAAATACACTGACGTTGAAAGATAAAAGAGAAATATGTGTTCTAAAACAATCAAAACCTACTCCAACGAATAGAGACCTTGCTATTCGTTTTAAAATTCGTGAAAATACTGTTTGTGACATATTAAAACGAAAGTCAGAATATCTTGCTATTAATCCAGAAGATCCCAATTCACATAATAAACGTTTACGCAAAGGAAAATATTCAGGTCTAGAAGATGCATTAATTCTTTGGACAACACAAATGCTTAAAGCAAATTTAACTATTAATGGTTCTGTATTACAATCGAAAGCAATACGTTTTGCGGAATTGTTAGGTTTCCGAGATTTTAAAGCATCAGGCGGATGGCTAAGTAATTTTAAAAAAAGACATAATTTTTCTCAATATAGTAAAGCTGGCGAAGCTAATAGTGCACCATTAGAATTATTACCATCTGAACGTGATCGATTACAAAATATTATTTCACATTATGATTTGGATAATGTGTACAACTGTGATGAAACCGGTAAATAATTTTATTTACAAACGGTATTTAATGAAAAATTTTAAATTTAACATTATACTAGCTCTATATTGGCAATTAGAACCATCCAAGACCTTGGCACAGGGACCTATATCAGGTATCAAAAAATCGAAAAATCGCATTACAGTTCTATTAACATGTAATGCTACAGGTAATGATTACATCAAGCCATTAATTATTCATAAATATAAAAACCCTCGTGCATTAAATGGAAAACAAAGAGAGGACTTTCCGGTAGAATATTATTGGAACTCGACTGCCTGGATGCAATTATCAGTATGGCATGACTATTTAAAAAAACTTGATACATCTATGCGACAAAAAAACAAAAAAATTCTACTTTTGGTGGATAATGCACCAACTCATTCAAATCGTGACCTTAATTTAACACATGTTACAATTGAATATTTATTACCAAACACAACCGCACATCTCCAGCCACTCGACGCAGGAATAATTAATTCGTTTAAGGTTTTTTTAATCTTATTATTATGTAGTTGGGAAATAAAAATAAAAAAAAAATAATAATGTATTAACATTTAATTATTAGGCCAAATATCGCAAATTACTGGTACAAAATCGTATAGAGGCATATGAAATTTCTCAAGAATTCGAGACTCCTATTGTTCCATTAAATATCTGGAATGCAATTGAATGTTGTGCAAAATCTTGGAAAGGTGTAAGTTCCGAAACAATTCAAAATTGTTGGAAAAAAACCCAAATAATCCCACCATCATCACAAGATAGTCATATTGTAGAAACTGTTCAAGATAATTTTGAAGAAGAATCATCACAACTGGAACATCTAATTGACAAATTACCATTTGACGATCCTATTATGGCAATTGATTATATTACGATTGACAATGAAGTGGTTGAAGAAACAGTAATGGAAGATGAAGAAATCATAGCTACAGTCACATTGACATCTAACAATGGTAATCAAGAGGAAGAAATAGAAACTCCTGTAGTTACTTTAACTGAAGCATTGAGAGGTGCTGAAGCACTTCTTAATTTTGTAACTTACCCACCAGAAAAATTTGAAATTTCAACAAAGCAAATTTCTAGTATTCGTTCTGTTAGAAGTAGCATTTTATTATATAAAAGTTCACTAGCGCATCAACGTAGTATAGATGAATATGTAAACTTTGATGTATAATTTTTTAAACCAAATTTTTTTTTTAAAATATATTAACTTCGTCTTATCAAAGATTACTTGATAAAACGAATATTTGATAAAACGATGTTTTGAGCCCAAAACAAGTACATCGGTTTAACGAGTTCTGACTGTATATCATAGATTAGGTTGACGACTAATTCACATGACCGATAACATTACAAAATTGATTTTAAATTTTAATTAAAATAACAATATAAAAAAAGTTTATTTATTTATATAACAAGATGTTAAGTAAAAATGTCTGTTATTATTAATAATAACCAAGTCTTCTCATTTTTTTCTTTTTCAAATTAAAAAGAAAATTAATAATTAATTTATTAAAAATAATAAAAATAAGTTTCTTTCCGAAAAACCATGTCTAATAAATTTAATAATAATAATGATTACTTTGCAACACTTAAAATTCTTCTTGTTGGTAACTCAAACGTAGGGAAATCGTCTCTTCTATTAAGATTTACTGATGACACATTTTTACCACATGAAGAAGTATCAGCAACAATAGGTAATTATAAAACAAATTAAATAGAAAATTATTTATTAATCAATTATAAGATACTTAAATGATTATATAAATAGGGGTGGATTTTAAAGTACATGAAATGGTTGTAGACGAAAAGAAATATAAATTAACAATTTGGGTATTTGTTTTATTAAAATATTTTTAAGTAGAATTTGATTGTTTTGTCGAGAAGATTTTGTTTTTCTATGTTTAAATGACATTATATTATTAATTTTAATTTTAGGATACTGCAGGTCAGGAACGTTTTAGAACATTAACATCTTCATATTATCGTGGCGCTCAAGGTATTATATTTGGTATGTGATAGATAATAACGTATATATATATGTTATGTGCATGATTTTAATTATTTAATGGCATTAATATTTTCTTTTTTTCTAGTATATGATGTATCAATTCGTGAGACATTTGATCAATTGGATAATTGGTTTAATGAATTAAATACCTATTGTTCAAATAAAAATATAGCGAAAATTATAATTGGTAATAAAATAGATAAGGTAAAAATAGCCAAGTAATTAATTATTAATCATTACTTTGATTATGTGTGGTAGTTTATTTTATTTTAATATTTTGTATCCATTTTTGAATTTTGAATTTTGAATTTTGAATTATGATTTTAGGGAACTGAAAGAGCAATTTCACGTAAAGAAGGTGAAGCATATGCAAGAAAATTACAAACTTTATATACAGAATGTAGTGCTAAAACAAAATATGGTGTGGAAGAAGCATTTGCTGAACTTGTTAGAAAGGTTGTTATAATTATAATTATTATTAATTACATGGAATAGCTATAATTAATCATTTTTATACTATCATACCAATAATGATTTTTTAGATTATTGAAGATCCAACTGTAGTGCAGAAAAAAATTGACAAAACAATTAATAATAATGTTAATATATTTTCACAGGACAAACAAAAATCAAATAATAATAATAATGGATTTTGTTCATGCTAAATTTTTTTGGGCTTATTCAATTTTTTTTAAAAAAAGAAAAAATGATTATAATACTTTTTACTTTATTTATATATTAATCTATCATTGTCATTATCAACAATCACATATTTATAATCACACATTCTTACCTACTTTTTTATAAAAGTAGGATTGTGAAGATTACACACAAAGAGATCATAGCATTGTAAGGCAACATCCAAAGAATTATTTTTTTGCATGGTTTTCCTATATATATTCATCATATTCTATCTCATTATTAATTTGTTATTTTTTGAGTTAGAAAAATGACGTTTTTATTTTTATTTTTGTAATTAATTAATTAATTTTGATTTTTTGTATTATATATAATAATTATTATTATTACATTATATATAATAAAATAATATATATAGTATAATAATAATAAAAATAAAAACAAAAAAGACATTTATTTAATAATATATTGATACAAAATTTATATCATTATTAGGTTCAATACCATTTTCTAACATTTATCATAAATTTTTTTTGCTTTTTCATTTTCTCTAATACTAATATTGCCTTTAATTAAAGATGCATAAGTATGTATATTTGGCTTTACATTACATGATTTCATTAAATTAAACATCTTTAAAGAATTTTCTAATTTACCCAATTTAGCAAAACCCTCTATTGATTTTGTGAATATTATAGTATTTGGTTTGATTTTGTATTTTAACATTGCTTGAAATATTTCTAATGATTTTTGTATATCAGTCAGACGACATTTCACGCGATCTACATGTCTACTGTAATAACTACAATGTGGATCATCTATACTCAAAAGTTTAAAATTTTTGAAATATTATGTGATCCACACATTGAATTTTAAAAAACTCAACATCATTCAATTCAGCTTTAAAAAGGGAGTCTATTAATCTAAAAAAAAAATTGTCTCAAATTTTCTTTTCATAGATTTTTAAATTTGAAAGTTATGCTCAGAAGTGCAACAATAATTTTCGTGTTACGATATTTTGAATCTCACGATCAAATTTGGTAATGGTTTTCTTTTAATGTAATACTATTTTGTTGTAAGGAACTTTTATTTATTAATAAAAAAAGGGAATAAATAAATCAAATAAATCAAATGTATGTTGTAGAAAATATTCTATGAAGAAAAAAGTTGTCACACGAAATTTACTTAGTCTCAATTTCTTAAATGTATAACAAAATTCGGAATATTAATTTTTTGTAAGCTTTGTAGTGGAATGTCAAAATTTTCAAGAGATATGAATGCTTTTAGGTTAGACAAAATCAAAGCAATCAGATGGGGAAAAATTGTCAATTATTTCATTAATGAGAAATATTTATTTTTGTTCAAAACTAAAGATGGCTCTGCAACTAGGAAGTTGCAACCCAAAAAAAGATTGCATCTAATGCTGCAACTGCTGTAAGTCTGCAACTGTCTGCAACCTCTGGTTGATCAGCTACTTCAATCACTATAAAACTAAATTTATTTTTATCAAAAAAAGTTTTTTAATTAATGATTTTATTTAAAAACAATAAATCGCATTATGAGATTCCATTTCTGATACTAAATCATCATAATTATAGTTGCAGACAGAAAAGGCTGCAACTCAAGCTTTAAAACCTGCAGTTGCAGAAAATGTGAAAATAATTACAGACACCAATTTTAATTTTGTAGACATTTATTATATTAAGGTTTTTTGATTATATCAAGAGATATGGTCAAGAGAAGAGTTAGGAATAGAGTTATTCTTCACCAAGTCAAAAACCGACCCTTTAAATACATTTTTGAGTAGTACAATTTAATTTATTAGACTATTTCAAAGGTTTGCTTCCAACTTCTTAGATTCAAACCATTTGTTATTTGTTAATGAAACAATTGTTGATGAAGTGATTGTTGGCAAAATGAATCAAACCAGCATTTATTTTTACATTATCAAATTCATGATTTTAATCTTATAGAATCATTTAAAAGATGAAACCTTGTTACTGATATGAATATTTATATTACTATTTTTGTAACCAGTTACAATCTCTATACAGATGATATTCTAAACAGGACAATGACTGAGACACCATTGATACATTTCGCATTTTTAGGAAAAAATGACATATGTATTTCTAGGTACATTATAATCTAATTTTAATCCATTATATAACTAGTACAAATTTAGAAATTATAGCAGAAAATTTTGATTTGATTGGATAATTCCCAATATGTAACATGAACATTTGCATTGATAATGATTTTGGGATTTTTATTTAACATAATTTAGTGAAGTTTCCTCAAAACCTTAAAAAACTTTCTCAGTTACAAACTATATCTGGTCTGAGACTTTATTCCAAAGCATTTATCTTGTCAACTGGCATAGAGGTTTTAGCCCAAGAAATGCAAAAAATATACTTATAGCAAACAAGCCATGGTTAGCAAATGTGCGGCCCATTGATGGTCTATTGATGGTCCATTAGTGTAACACTTTAACCATATTTAGTATTTTATTAATGGCAATGGACCAGTCCAAAATACATCTGTTCTTAATAGACCAGTCAATTTGCCAACCTTGAAACGAACAGGTGACCTTTCAAAATTGGAATACTGCATTAAAATTTTATTATCAAGTGCTTTTCTGGCTTTATCTACTGTAAGCTTGTTCTGAAATATATAAGTTTGAAACCTATACAATCCAAACTAATGGTAAATAGTCGATATGTTACAAATGGGGCATGCTGCAACAAAACCAGACAAAGTGAACATTGATATTACCAAGGATTTTAGGGATCAAATTTAGTCATTCCATCACAATTGTAATGTGATCAGTTTTATAATGTCACATTTGTTAAGTGATATATAGGATTATCTCTAGACAAAAATAGTTAATATGAAATTAATTTACATCAGATCTACTATGGAACCCAAGAATTATAGCACCATTAGAAGTATTCTGAAGAAAGAGCAAGGTGAAAAAATTGCTCCTTATATTTTCAAAATAAATGATACTCAAACACTTGAGGCTTATCTAAGAAAAGAAAGGATTACTTATGAAATTTACCATGAAGAAAGAAAATCATAACTAATAAAAGAACATTGTCACAAAACCATGATGAATCTAGAAAGAAAAGAAAATTAGAAGAAAAATAATTTACCACCTAATTCAGGTTAATTAATTCCTTAATTTTTTTTTCTTTTTTCCTAACAGATAGGCAAAAACCCCTATCATCAATACTATTATTGTTCCTCCCAAAGTGTAAGGTAAGTAATTGGTTGGGTTGGTTGATGGTAATTGTTCTTTCTTTTGCTCAGCAATTATTTGACTAAGTTCTGATTGGGATAAAAAGGTTTTATTATTGCTTTTTAAATAATTAAATACCTGTTGTAATTCAAGATTATTATTATTATATTCAACTACTAGTTTATTATCACCATCAAGAGTTACATTTTCTCATGCTGAATAAAAAACTGTTCTAATTGTTCCAAATCAAAGAGAGAGAAGGGTTTTTGTTCTTCTCATTAAAATCATAGACATTTTTATTTTTATCTTCTTGCTTCTCTTCTTTTTTTTTTCTAATTCAGTTAATAAGTCAGTAACTTGCTTTTTTAATTTCTTCATCCAGTAAATCCTGATCTAATAATTCTAATTCAAGCATTAGCTCATCAGAAGACATTTGATCTTGATTAGTTAAGAGATCTTGAGCTTTTTGCTCTGACTGAAAAGGAGATTTTACAGGAGAGGGAATGTTGGGTTCGGCTAACACCAGATTTCCATTAGAATAGCACATCCCAGGAATTTTTAGTGCCTTTGGTAATGCTGTTCATCTGCTTCTATTGCTCTGTTTCTGCATTATCAAGCAGCATCAGCTTCTATTCGTTCTTCTTCAGTGAGATGATGTGTCATGCATGGCATGTGGTATGGTATTAAGGTAGAAGTGACAGAAGAAGATAAAAGATTCAGTAGTATTGATATATATTTGTGCAGAAAGTATATAAAAAGAAAAAGTTATTATATGGGTTTTTTAAAAATTTAAAGTGGACAGTATTAGTAGTATAGATAGATAGAATTAGTAATAGATTAGAAAATAAATTGGAAGCTGTTTAATTTTTTTGTTATACATTAAAGAATTAGTAGTAGATAAACAGATATGTACATAGATTTAAAATTGAAATTAACAGATAAAATAAAACAAATTTTTTTTGTTGTATATAATCAATTTCGTTTTTTTTTTTATTAATTTTATTTTATTTTATTTTATATAGATTATGAGTTAAATACATAATTACTGTACATATATGAGAACATGCACTTGGAATTAATCAAATCAAATTGTTGTTAAATTAAAAATAGTATAGATTAATAGTATTTTTGTTTTTATTTATAGATCATCTAAAAATCCAAAGTCAAGATCACACCCAATTCCAACCAATCAAATTTTACTAGATATATATATTTTTGAAAATCCTCAAAATAAGAAAATTTATGAATTTCATTATAAACAACATATATGTTAAAAAATAATATTAATTTGTTATTAAGCAAATACTATATGAAAAAGGTAATTCAATCACTATCATAAGTAAGAATTGTAACTAAATCATTCTTTTCAACGTTGTGTAATTCCTGAAATGATGTTTGTTCTATCTCATTTATGATATTTAGTGATTTTTTCAATCTTTGATTTACTGAATATATGATGCAGATTAGTGAAATAATTGTCTCTGTAAATGATTCATTGTTATCATCCAATGGTATATATATACAACATAGTCTACGAGCTCTATGTAAGGGATAATATTTCCTATCCACAATGAAAATTTCAACGATGGTTCCTAAAGAGTAGAAAAAATCTATTATAAGCATTATAAAATTAAAAAATTTAAAATTTAAATAGCTTACCATGACAATGGATCAATATTGTTTCAATATTAAAAAAGTTACTAATATCAGTGGGTTTATTCTTGAATGAATTTATCATCTTATCCCAACCATCTTTAGCAAACTTTAGTAATTTATTGTGATCATTTTTTATATGATCAGTACAGCTTGTGTTTCTTTTTCTCAGACCATTACTGATTTCACCATAACATATTTCCCAATTTAAAAATTTTCCAAATATGTAACCATGTAGGTCAGGCTTTTTCCATGGGCCATTTGTATCATCGTTTCTTTCTCTTGTAGCCTCACTCATGTTATTGTCCCTATGAAAATTTATGAATAACAATAAGAGATCATATAAAATAAATAGAGAATAACAATATTTAAAGACTTGCCATTGATAAGTCAAGTCATAAATATCATAAAATATTAGCCGAGTGATTGGATTTATTCCATCATGAGACCATGTGGATTCTAGTATTTCTTCATTTCTAGAGTACATTCTTATTTTTTTTATTCCTATGAAATGAGATACAAAATTCCTGCATGTAATAAACAAATCAAAAAATTCTGATTCAAAATATTTTTCAGGTATGTTATAGCGTTCATTCTTATTCATGTATTCTCTGTTGAACTCCTCTAATCCATCTGGAAGATCATCAATAGATAAGCCTTGATTTACGTCATCAAAAACATTTCCCATCTTTAATTCACTAACAATATTAATCTGTAAAAATATTACATCAATAATCCCTGACAAGAGTGGATCATTTTTTATTAGCTTTGTATTTGTGATATTTCCTGCAATTATTCATGTTCCTAGATTAACATCCTCCTTATATTGTAGCTGTAATAATTATACATGAAGTCAAAATTAAAACCCCAAAGTCAAAATGTTTTGACTTGAGGCAATTACATAGTAAAAATCAGTTTTGACCTTATTTCAACCCTATTTTGACTTCATGTATAGTAATAATTATTAAATATTTAATTAATATACTGTATATATATCAATATAAAACAAATAAACAAAATGAAATTTTACCTTTGATAAACTATGTAAGGCTCTATTTTTTTTCAATAAATTATCCATGTTTATTGTTTTAATATCAGATATCCAAATTGTTTAGATTGTTTGTCTACAAACATTAATACTCAATGTATGAATAATCGCTCATTGTGATTTTAACTAAATCCCAAAATTCTAGTACATTAGGATCATTTGATTCTTCATTGTATTTATTAGTGCCTTATATAATTAACAAAAGAGATGAGACTTACTCCAATTTTTGATAATGATAAACAACTCTGTATAATTAAATAATATAAATATTTATTTCTTTGGTCTTATAAAGTTCAACTAAAAAAGCTTTTGCTTTCTCAAAATCATTATTTAATTTAATTAAATGAACTTTTTGCAGCAAACAATAAATACATGAAGAGATGTGGACTTTCTTTTTTTCTAGCCATGTATGTCCAATATTTTAAAAGAATATTTTTATTTTTATGTTTGTCATCATCACCATCATAGTAAATTCTTTGATGTTGAACATTTTCTTTTCCTCCTTGTGATGAACAATGCTTCAGATTACTAAAAAGTAAATACAAAAGAGATCAATTGTCAACCATATGAACAAACTAGAGTAACAATAACCACCATTCTTTTTAATAACTAACTAGAATGACAAGTTGTGACAATAATAACCACTATCATTCTTTTTTTAAACACTTACCCAAGCTGACCTACTTCATGACATGTATCTTTTTGTCTTTTTTTCATTTTTGCTTGATCTTTTGGTGGCGTTTTTCTATTAAAAAAATCAAGAGAAAAAATTTGTTATTTTGATCAACATACACGTACATGACTAATTCTAAAACCAAGTAAGCGTGTTTATACCTCTTATGGTATTACAAATAATGTGACTTTTACACATTTTATCCAATAAAAAAAACTATCTCTAGTAAATATTTACATAAGTGATATTATCGAAAAAAAAAAAAAAAAATTTTTTTTACAATGGTAACAAAAAAAAAAGGAAAAAAAGTAAATAAAGATATAAATGAAAATTCAACTCCCCTAATGGATATAGATATAGATGAAAACAAAGAAAATTCTTGTCATGATACTGAAGAAACAAATAACAATGAAGATAATTCAAATGAAGTACCCTCAAACAAGAAAGAAGTATGGGTCAAAATAGAATCAAAAAAACGATATGAAGTTTCAATATTGGCAGAAAATTTGCCTGGAAAAAAACCTGATGAAAAAATTAAAAATGTATATCACATTATTGATGATGCAAGTAATATAATTGGTGTTAAATATATTTTCATTGCTGGAAAGAAGAGAGTAGTTGCTACTTTCAAGAACAAAGAATCTGCAGATAAAGCTTGTTTAAAAAATATATTAGAAAATAATGATTACAAGTTTGAAAAAATAATTAAAAGAAACGAAAATTTAGATTGGCAACAGAGAACTATCAAAATTATGGATATCCCTTTAAATGCAAAAAAGGACATAATTAAAAATATTTTTAACAAATTTGGAGAAGTTGAGACAATTTCTATGAGACCTAGTGGAATGTGGTACACTGCGTTAATAACTTTTAAAAGTGAAAATACAATAACTGAACTACAGAATACATGGTCAGTTTCATATTTTAAAGATAGTATGAGAATCTATCCATATAAAGATTATCAAAAGTTTTATCAGCAGAGGAACTGTCATGTTCTTAAACTGACTAATATTCCTTTTGGTACTACATCTTATGATCTTGAAGACGTTATCACTGCTGTTGGTGGAAAAACTTGTTTTTTTGCCAGAAACAAAAACTCATATATCAGGACAAGAATTGCTTACGTAGCATTTGAAAATGAGGAATTGATGGCTAATGCAATGCACACAAATTATGCACTAAGAGAAAAAGAGCTATTTTGGACTACTATAAATGCTAAAACATGCCATATTTGTGGATCCCCAGAACATCTTGCTGCTAAATGTGAGGAAAAAGCAGACAGAAAAGAAAAACAGATGAAAAAACAAAAATTCAATGGTTTATATAAAAAATTTCATATTCCATTCAAACCAAAAGAAACCAAATCAAAAACATATGCTGATATAGCAAAGCAACAAACAAAAAAACAAACAAACAATATTCCTAAACCAATTACAAAAATTGGGGAAGACAACTTTAATAGATTGCTGGATATAATCAATACTTTAAAAAAAGATATTACACAAATTAATGAAAATATCAATGATATTAACAAAAAAATAAAATTCATGGAGACTACCACAGGAATCAACTTACCAATTTTAAATAATTCCACTCATAATCCACTGAATATTAAAAATAATGAAAATATCCCACAACAATCCACTCCCTCTTTAAATCAAACAAGAACAAATAATAAAAATGACTCCTCAAATAATAATAAAAGGAGGCGACCAAATACATCATCATCATCATCATCATCATCAAGTGATGAGTTAGAATGTGTTAAACAAAAACAACTTGAGGTTTCAAACCAAATGGGAAAAATAGAAGACAAGTTAAATCAAATAACATCCATGCTAATACTTAATCATCAAGAAGATGAAATATTAGATTCATCATCTTCTGATGATGATGACACCCAAGGATATATACACTCATCAACAATAAATAATGAGTGCAAAAACAATAACAATAATAATATCATTATTTACAACAATAATGACATTAATAGAGAAAATTATAAAACAATTAATCATAATGATAATGAACAATTAATTACAATAGCAACTCAAAATATACAAGGATTATCAAATCCAGTTAAACAAAAACAATTATTAGAAACACTAAAATTAAAAAATATAAATATAGTTGGAATAACAGAAACTAAAATGAGCAAAAAAGTTGCATCACATGCATTGAAAAATAATGATTTTGAGGTGTGGTGGAGTTCAAATGATAAAAGTCCAACTAGCTCTGGTGTGGGGCTCATGATTAAAAAATCAATATCAATATATGTCCAAAAGGTCAAAGAATCAAATGGTAGAATAATTTATGCAGATTTATTTTTGCCTCACCAAAAAATTAGAATTATAAATGTATACATAAATTCATCAATGTCTACAGAGTGGGACAGGAAAGAAAGATTACAAACTGAAAATGAAACAATTTCAATAATAGAAGAAGGAAAAAAAATAATTACAGTAATATAATAATTGGTGATTTTAATGCAGATCCTGATAAATTAGAACTAGATAGAATGAACAATAAAAAAATAGATAGAAAATACCATTTTATCAAATTTTTACAAAATAAAAATTATATTGACATTCATACAAACATAGAAGATGACAAATGTTATACATGGAAGAACAACAATAGTACAAGTAGGATAGATCTCATATGGATGCCAAATAATATGCTAGATGAAGTTTTCTTCTGTGAGACATGGAAATCGCCACTATATTCTTCTGACCATAGAATGGTCATTACATACTTACACAAAAATAATATTATTTTTAATACAAAGGAAGCTAATATAAAAAGGAAACAAATGAGAAGACAAGTATTTTCTTTTGACAACATGAAAGAAGAAGACTGGTTAAAATATGCTGAAACAAGTGACAACTTATGGAAAGACTCTCAAATGAATAAATTTAAATTTCCTGAAAATCCTGGTCATCATGATCTGAATAGAATGTGGGATGCAGTAAGAAATACTCTCATCAAAACAGCCGAAAAAACAATTCCAAAACGATGGGTATCAGAATCATTCAAATACATTAAATCAAAAGAATTGATCAAAAATTATAGCTATCTCAGGAAGGTTAACAAAATTTTAATTAAATTCAACAATATAAAAATTTACAATGACAAAATACCTTCTCAGACTGAATGGAATAAAGACATAAAGATTTTAAATAATATCATCAATAATGGTAAATTTGAAGAACTTCAAATACAAGAAAGAATACACAATGGAAACATAAAACAAATAAAAAAAGATATCAAGCAAATACATAAATTATTATACACTCTATGCCAAATAGAAGAAGATAAGTGGAGAGAAGCACAAATAAAGTTTTTCTCATTAAAAAGATGCAACAACTTTAACTTAGAAAAAGGAAAATTTATTTCGTCATGTCTTGAGAGAAGCAAACGTAAGATAACCCTGGATAAAATAATTATTGAAACAAAAGATGGCCTAGAGCTTATAACCAATTCTAATACTATTAAAAACCAAGTTAATGAACACTTTCAAAAAATTGGCAGGGTTCCACCAAATCAAGAAATATAAATAAATGAAAAGTGGAAAAGACAATATGAACCTTTAAATTTTATCAATGACAAATGGTATAAATATATAATGCAACCACCTACATTTGAAGAATGGTACAAACTTGTCAAAAGCTTACCTAACAATAAGGCTGCTGGTCCATCAAAAATCACAAATGAAATGATTAAATATGCAGGACAAAATATTAATAAAGCAGTATGGAGATTAGTTTGTGCATGCCTTAAATGTGGTGACATTCCAAATGAATGGAGGGAAGCAGTAATATACCCAATACCCAAACCACAAGAATGGGAGGGCCAACTAAAAAATACACAACCAATAACTCTACTTGAAACAGTACGTAAAGGTTTAGTCAAGCTTGTTTACCAAAGGTTATCAATGATCTTAGCAAAAAAAAAAATACTTAAAGGTGGAAATTATGCAGGTTTACCAGGTGGTTCATGTTACGATCCTATACATATATTAGAAAACATTATTCATGATAATAAAAACAAAAATCAAGAAATATGGATACTCTGTCAAGACATTAGCAAGGCTTATGACTGCGTTAACATTAACATGTTAAACAAAGCCATGGAAAGGATTAAATTACCACCCTTGTGCAGGAAATTCATTATCAACTTATTTTCAAGAAGAACTAATACTGTGATCACACAATATGGTAATACTGATCCTTATCAAATCCTTGTGGGAATTGATCAAGGAGAAGTTATATCACCTCTCTTATGGGTAATTTACTATGATCCTTTGCTGTGTGAATTAAACAATAATGTAACAGAAGCATATTCTATCAATCACACATGGATAAACAACTTAGATGATAAAACAAATAAACAAAATAGAACATAAAATTAATAATCTAACATACATGGATGATATCAATCTAATATCAAAGTCAAAACTTGGAATAGAGAATTACATGAAAATTGCTGATGAATTTTATGAAATCAATAACATCAAGGTTAATAAGAATAAATACATGTTAATATCAAACCAATGCAAGTCAGGCGAAGAAATTATATTAAACAATAATACCGAAATTAAAGCAACAGGGCCTAAAGAATCATTTCGTTTTTTAGGTGTCTGGTTTAATTTGGATCAAAACAAAAAATATGTCAAAAACCAAGTTAAACAAGAAATATATAAAACAGTTAATATTATGAAATATAAAAGATTAACAGACAAGCAACTTGTATATATATTCAACAGTGTGGTTTTACCTAAAATTGAATATAAATTGCAAACAACTGTTCTAACACCAAATGAAGCAAATGATATGATGAAACCATACAGGAAATTATTTAAAAATAGATTAGGTATATCAAAAGATACCCCAAACCTAAACTTATCAAATAAAAAATTATATAATTTAATAGATTTACACCATCACCAAAGTCAGTGTCATATTAACAGTTTGTTTACAAAAATCAACAATCCAAATACACTGGGAAAAATAATAGAAATAAGATTGCATCAATTACAAACAGAAATGTGGATTCCCCATTCACCTTTATCTATTAAATCATGGAATGATTGGCTATCTTCCAAAAAATTAAAAAATGATCTAATAGCAGCAGAATTAAATTTAATGCAACAAAATCATATAAACATCAAACATCATAATGAAGAATCCTTCTCAATCAAAGGAGGCAATACACCTTTATACACAATTCTTAAAGAATCATATTACAAAAATACAGCACCATTAAAAAATAGATTGATAATGTTCCTTGACCAATTAAGATCATATGATGGATCTTACTTATTGACATGGAAAGAGATCACTGATAAACATTTTAATAAAAAAAATTTTTCAAGGAAACCAAAATGGATGGAATCATTGAAAACTTCAGTTCTTCTATGGTGCAAGTCACCTAGTCCCGCAACTTGCTGCGCCTCGTGGCCAATTTTGGGAAAAATCATCAAAACTCAGAA